TCAAAATAAGTACACCAAGGTAACACAGTACACAGACTAAACTGAATAAATAGCATCAGAGCTAAAGAATTATGCCTATCTTCTTTGCAGCGTTACCTTTGGGAAAACATGAGAAGCATCTAGACAAACAAATTTGGGCTTTAAGAAGTATATGTATAAAAAATAACATCATATAGCTATGAGTATCTCAAGTGTGCTTCAAGACCAATTGCTGCTTTATAACAACAGAGAAACAAAGTAAAAAACCAAGTGGTCACAAGTTACAACTTTTCAATTTCTGCACCTTTTCTAAAACATAAAATGGTACGATTCACATCCTTTCCAGATCAAACGAGCTCCAATGAGAAGTACAATTTCTAACTTATGACATAATTAATGATACTTCAATAAATTAAATGCCCTGCCCTGTTCTTCAGAAAGACCACTGCAGAACATCTGCAGGCTGCCACCACCGTGAGAAGAATATCATAGAGCACAATACAAGCAACTGCTTTTCCATGAGTTTCTTGTAAAATAAACAGAAAACTAGAGTATGTACATCTACAGCAACATTGAAGAATGAGCAACCAAAACGATCTGGGCCAAACCGAGTCAAAAGTTTGATTCAACTGAGGGGTATACAACATAGAGAGCCAAACCAGAATATTATTTGAAATTTAAATATCATATTACAAGAACAATGACATCACTCACTGTCCATACATGATCTGAGATCTTTTGGATAAAAATTTGCAATTGTTCATTAAAGATTGAGAAGCTTTATGGACTACCTTAACCCATCTTACTGGTAAATTTTTTTGCATATTTGAGATATAACTACAAGAACCTCAGACTTCAGAATGAAACAAGGATTGTAAAAGAAAAGGATTCTCCTGGGACATATTTGAGCATGTAAACAAACTGAAAATATTGACAGCATGGAATTTCTAAACTATAATTTTCTTAAAGGTCTTCATACTGTTAACTAACTAAACCATATGAAAACCAAATTTTGGAGATAAATATACGTGCACAAGAAAGGCATACAGTTGAAGATTTACCATATGAGCAGGCTCCACAATTTGACACCCAGTTTCATCTCTGAACATGACAACAAATTCATCTGAAATTCACCGTAGTTGAGACACAAATCAGCGAAGCACTTAAAGTCGAATATAATTAAAAACAAAAAAAAAAAGAAGAAAATTTGGAAAAGAGCTAAACTTCATTTCTTACTTAGCATGAGATTGGATTCTTTCCGACGCGAGACATGGTCAACAATGATGATGCCGCCATCTTGATCACGTACGCCATGTGGGTGATTTCTAAATCTGCCATTTTCAGTGCTCAGACATGACCTTCCCCGTTGATGTTTCATTTATTCGAAGAACTTGGGGAGAATCCATCTCTAACTTCTTCTTCCAGTTTGGGCGGTAGTTGAAGGACTGCAATTTCTGAAAATAGGAAAATTATCAAGAAAAATCCCAGACAAAAGGCTACCTTACAGACGGCAACAAACAAACTTTTCAGCCACACCAAATGTATAACCTAAGCTATAAAGTATGGGAGGACAAAGATCTCGAGTTATACCTAAGGCAACCAAAAAGTTCCAAATCTCAAAGACTGATAATAAGCACATAGCTGGGGATGACTTGCACAGAAGGGATAACAAACCGTCACTCAAAGAGTTTTCCAAGAACAAGAATGAAAATACCATTAATAATATTTTTTTTTAAAAAAAGGAAAATATTAGAACAACACATCTAACCATTCTTCTATTCTTACTGCATGCATAGAGCATACTTGAGAAAGAGAAAAAGACTCCAAAGATTCGAATTAGTGATAACCAATACAGGAAAATAACAAATTCTAACCATGTCGCCTAATACTAGAAGATAAGGTCGTCACACTGGTCGAGCGTGGAGGATACGACTGATGGGAGCAGCGAGTATAAGGGCAAAACGGATGCTGTCACTATTTGGGAAGGTAATTCGACGATGACGGATGATCACAAGGATGGGGAAGAGGAGAGATACAATCTGGCATTAGCATGTGCAAGGGGGGAAGGGTTTCCACTGATGGAAGCCAGGCTGTATGATGGGCTGGGAGAAGGGCTGAACGTTATTCCACTACAGTGCGGGCTTTTGAACGAAGCCACTTGGGTTGTGGAGGAAGATGTTAGCTTGGAGAGCCAGTATTCTGATTAGGTACAGAGAAACTTTACAAATATCAGTAAGATGTTTGGTATGACTATTGATGATCTTGAAATTAAAATTTTGAATATACTCGAGGAAATGGAACAAAACTTTACTGAAACAGAGAAGAGTAGTGAAAAAAAACACGAAAGAAGCAGGGGGAATGAGGGAGTAGGAAATTAAAAAGACTTGAGTGCTCTATAAATTATAAGAGAAAGAAGAGTGGAAGAAAGGGAGAGGGGACCCAGTGCAACAATGTAAGTATCCATGATAGGAAAAATAATTTCTTAAAATTTTAGGAGGCTGAACGATAGGAAGAAAAGAGGGTTTATCAAAGGGTGCATCAGAAGGTGGAGGCCAGATGTCGTTTGTTTTCAGGAGACTAAAATGGAGAAAATTGATTTGCAGACTATTAAAAGTCTGTGGAAAGAATGCAGGGTCAATGAGTTTTTTTACCTACTGTTGGATCGGCTAGGGGTATTCTTATTATGTGGTACTTTCTAATTCGAGGGAGCAACCTTCGTGGCCAAGAATTGACCGATTTTTTATTTCTAACAATTTGTTAATACTACTTGCAGGGTTAAGTCAAAAAGTGTTAAACAGACTCATTTCAGACCATTTCCCCATATGCTTAATTTCGAATGGTATTATTTGGGGATCCGGATCATTTCGGATGATTTCAAATAATTGGTGTCTAATACCTGGCAGTAGTCCAGTGTGAAGGGTACTGCCAGTTTTCAGTTTGCTCATAAATTAAAGGTTTTGAAAAATAAGATTAAAGATTAGACCAGATGTGAGGTGGACAAAACGGGAGAGGAAAATCAGTGACAATTTAAAGGAAATTGAGCTGCTAGATCTG